ATAAGCTCAGTTAGGCCTTCTCTATTCAGAGTTATAATCATTTAAATACTATCATTTGATTCATTGGTCTCTATTATATCAGTAAAATGTTTAAGGTGTCCCATTCTTTTGATTATGCATAGAGTTTGAATTCAAAAGCGAAAAAAATGTTCCCTCGTGTGTTATTTTTACATAAACATCAATCAGACAAATTAACCTCGTCCCCCCCCCCCCCTCCTCACTCTCTTCCGCCTTAACACACCCCCCCCCCGCTCGCCACCACAACACGCCACAGTATGCCTTCCCCTTTCCTTCTCGCNATTTTTTTTAATGATTTACGTCACATTTTGCTTGAAAAATTTTTTTTTCAGAAAAAGTGGGACATGTTGTTCAATTTTTTTCTTTGTTTGTACTTCACTATAGATTTCTATGTGGACCTTCATTCTTTACACTTAATTATTTTTTGTTTGAAAGGGTACGTGAAACCGCAGTATCGATATTTTTAATTAAGCTTTTTATTAATATATGACAAAGGACTTCTATGAATACATTACCATTTTTTTTGGATATTATACTCATCATCCTTTACCACCAATGAAGGCTCATAAATAATTTCGGCTCGCCGAATGAGCTATTTTTAACCTTTTTTTTGTTGAATATGTCCCGAAAACATTCTGATCTAAGCCTGAAAATATCATGTAATTTGAATGTATCTAACTCAAGATCGATTTTTTCAATGAAGTTTAATTACAAAATGATTCTTTAAATTGCAATAGATCATTGATGTTTTTTTTTCTTTTCACTTACTCTGCATTGATGCATAGCCGCCCATTCATAATAAAAATCTTTTTTTAACTGTGCATGATTGACAGTTATTGGAATTTCATTCATACGAATAATCTGTTGTAATCGAATTGGTTGAGTTCCAATAGATGTATAATATAATGTATCACCATGTGCTAATCCAGTTCCTTGAGGAAAATTAAATTGTGAAAATGTTGTCGGAGATTTTCCTTTCTGAATAAAATTTCTAACAATATGATCGAAAACTGTTAAAATATTTCCATGACTAGCTATAATTGTTAATGTATGTTCAAATTTTCTTGATCTAATTGGTTGTAAATATTCCCGAACAAAATAAAACCAACGATGACGTTGTTTATGTACATCACTAAGAAAAAACGAAAAATGATATAGTTTTTTTTTAATGCGAAATAAATCAATTTTTTAAAATATAATTATACACGCATTCAGTAAGACCAGTATCTTGAACAAATTGTGTTTCAAATTCAAGATTATTACTAAGTTGTAAACGAATATTATAAAGAGTTTCAATTGCACGTGTTTGTGTACTTGATACTAATTTAATTGGTCTTGTTAATGGTCCTAATCTTTGAATTATTTCATGTATTATTTGATTTATTTTATAACCTGCCATACGAGCTTGATATTTTCCATAACGAAGTAAATGTGCACTTGGTTCATCTTCTGTATAAACATATAATCCTAAAAAAAAAAATCAACAAAACAAAACATTTGTGTTTTTTTCTCTCTATCATTAGTTTATTTCAATTTACCGTGTCGAACGAGAAATATATGATGTTGCGATTGAGGATGAACACCATAACGATCAATACGATATGGATGGGTTTCTCCAGAACGATAATGATGACCAGTTTTATATATTCCTGGTCTGTTTTGAAGTTCTTGAGTAATAGGTTGATTTGGTGTTGTTTCTTCAGTTTCAGTTAAGGATATAGGCATATTTCCATGTTCCCAATTAGGATTTTGATGAAATTGAGCAGCAATTATTTCGATTTGATTATTATTAGGTAATGGATATAATTCTTCAATTTTTGGTATAATTTCCGTACTAACATTTCTTGCATGAATTCGATTTGAGAATAAGAAAAAAACTAGATAAAATAATAACATAACTGAGACAAACAAGAAAATTTAAATGACAAATAACTACGATAGATTAGGCGCCATTTGATATCGAGAAAAATATATTTATATTAGTTTAAAATTAATATCGCTTCTTATTTTTGAGCGCATAAAAAAATATTGAATGGATTATTTATTGTATCATAATTGTAATAGATAGATGAAAGGTAACGTCTACTTTGATCGAAAAGAAAAATGCTCGGATGATTGAAATGTCGAAAGATAAGAATACCGCAGTGCAAAAAGGTCAAAAGATAAAATATCTACCTATTCAAACGTTGAAACAGTACTAATTATTATTTAGTTGATGATCAAGGATTCAATATGTTTATTTCATTGAAAGAATTTATCTTCATAAGAAAGAAATATATTTTTCTTTACGAAAAGCCAATTTGAAAAACGGAAAGAACCTAAATGAACAAATTAACTTGAGTCATGTATATGTTTCATATATGTTGTTTTTTTTTTCGGGTGTGCGAGTGTGGTAAGTGAAAACGAAAAGAACACACTCACCGACACTCTCACTATTTTGTAGCATTTGAGTTATAGTATTATTTTCATATTAGTAATACATTGTTCATGTTTCCATTTTCCATACTTGTAATTTCAAATATCAGAACTATCATAAAAACATATATTTTGACATTTGCAGGGTAAATCAAGTGAAAAAAAGCATGCTTTAAAGAATTATATATGATAATTTCTACCTTGATGCTCAGACAAATTTTTCTAATTATACAGTGCACTAATGTAAAATATGTTTGTTTACATTATTAACAATTTCGACTGATTAGTCAAGAAAAATAAGAATCAAGACTGTAGAAAATCAAGATTTCATACTTCATTCGACAATCTATTGATTCAATTTTAAATTTTTTTAACGTAAAATAAAATCTAGTTTGCAAAAAAATGACCATCTATTCGATTATTACATATGGCTACAACATTATTCTTTTATCGTCAAAGTAATATGCATCTTTTCCAAAAAATCAATTAACTATACCACAATCATGTTTAGAATTACTACTAATTGTCAATTTGAGATCTGTATATATCTCGTGTGAGAAAAAAAAGATCCTATACGAAATTTTTACTAGTGTTCTCATGGATAATGTGATGACTTGATTTTCAACAAGAACAAACAGCAAAGTAGCATCACTATTCAGTATTCACATATATTTTATAATGCTTTACATAAGAAGAACAATTACATATGATTGATTGATATTATAAATGTACTGTACTAGTCATGAAATTTCTTTAACTGTGTCTTTCTGATTTCAATGATTCTTTGTCTATAGTACCACATAGTGTTCTACTAAAAAGTATAAAAAGATTTGGGTTCCTATTGAGATTTCATTAAGCTATCGAATTTCGATCTAAAATTTTGTGGATATGGAGAACTCAACTAGACTAGCTCCCTTATAATATCAGGAAGTTTTTGAAAAGACTTTGCCCAGAACTTGCAAATTTTTCTATGGAAACTAGTCTAGTTGAGTTCTCTATATACACAAAGTTTAAGATTGGCATTCAAAAATACAACTTTTCCGAAAATCTGGGGCCCAAAAAATAGACATATTAAAAATTCGATTGTTTAGTCAAATATCAATAGAAAACCATATTCTTTTAGAGTTCTATATAGTATCTATAGGCAAAAAAAAACACTAAAAGTGAAGGGAGCAGCTGAAGGAGTCTCCTCGTAAATGTTTCCAACACACACCTAACAGAACATAATTACACTACAAGTTATGAATGCATAATATAACAATGAATCTTGCTGGAGTTCGAGAGAGAATCCAATGTAGTCAACAAGCGTTCATATGTACTTCAAGACGATTTATTTACATATCTATGAATTACAAGTCTCTAATTTATCAACAATAAATTTATTATATCATATCAATATGTGCTATGATTTCTTTTTAAAAAAATATCTTCTCTATGTCTGCAGTTGTTTTTGATATTTTAAATAATAAAATATATGTTTGTTCAACAATTTAAGATAAATCATTCGATGAATATTGATCTTCGAATGTTGATTATCAATTGTTGATAATATATAATATATCGAGAGCATGAACAGTTATGTGCCACTAATAGAGACATCCCTGACTCTAGTCTCGAAGATAGATTCGAACATCGGTACTGTTGTATTGTACAGCCATTATTCGATTTGACTAGAAATTTCATTTGAATATAGATGAAAAATAAGTAAGTTTTTATTTCATGAGATTTATCTCGAAGATATTTTTTTTTAAAGATCTTATAAAATAAATGGAGACGAATAGAATTCTATGAAACTGCATGCATTACAAAGAGATGTATAGAATTATTTGCATTTTATCAAATGTTTTTTTTTTCTTGTCAAATGAATTCTATAAAATATGAAATAAATAAATTCTGAATTAAATTATTTTTAATAATAATAATCTAATAGTTAAGAATAAAAATTCTTTAATATTTGTTTTTCTAATTAAAAACTACTATAGAAGAAAAAAAAATTGAATACTTTCTTAATAAAACATTTTATATATTCATGTCAATTTGTACAGAGAAAAATCTTTTGTTGATATAATTTTTAAATAATATTTATTGTCTACAAAAATTGTTTTTCTTTTTTTTATTAAAAAATAAGTTCTTTTCGAGAAAGAATAAAATATTATTGTTACTCTCAGTCCAAGAAAGGCAGATAATTATTGAAAATGTTTCATGAAATTTATCAAACATTTCAAAATCATCATTGAGTAACATAATCTGACAGGTAGATTCGAACATGAACATATGCATTTTTTTAATACTATAACCAACTTGACTATATTTTTGCCATGACATTGGCCTCTAAGTTAGTAGTTGATCAAATAGAATTTTTTATGGAAGTCTATGAATCAATGTAATTAACCATTCATATATTTTCTTAAAAGATGGCGGGTGAACTTATATTTTAATTCGATTAAATATTGACAAATAGAAAATATCAATTATTCAATGTGTTTTTATTTTATCTTTTGCGTCAAATAAAATCTCATTAATTAAGATAAGAATCTTGACTTTTTTTGTTTTTTTCAAAAACAATTATGTTTTCTCGTTCAACACAATTTCTTCAACGATTAACAATAATAAATTCACCTCGAAATTTATCATTTAAACAATTAAATCATATAAAACCTACTATCAATCGAAATCTTGCGTGGTTTTCTGGACAATCACGCAAGGAAACTTTTGGTTCGTGAGAATTTGTTTTCAATTTAATTTGTATAGAATTTTCGATTTAAAAAAAAAATGAATAAAAATTTCTTTGAAATTTTGTATTACATAGATTTGTATATACATACTAGAGCCTATCGAGTTGGTTCCAGACCCGAGTGGGTGAGAAAATTTTGAATTTGACAGACTTTAGTCATTCAAAAAATGCATAAGATGTGCTAATCACGATATACGAAGAAACCAGAAAGAATTATCTCGTACCTTCAGAGGAATGAGAGTATCAAAGTACGGTTCGACCTGATTCAAAAGTTTTAGGCCTGAAAGGCACTAGGACATGTTGTGAGTAGACATCGGCGTGACCAACATTTTTTGGTCACGGTCACGGTTACGGTCACGACCGTTGCCATCGTGACCGTGAGTCACGGTATCTACGCCAGTCTCTATACGAACGACGATTTTCTTTTTTCTCAAAATAGCATAACGTTCTCTTCCGATACGAGGTCCCTATATTAGAAGGCTTTCCATAATAGAAGACCTCCTTGGAGAAATACGTGCGATACTTAGTATAAGATCTTATTCAATTATCGAATTTTTCGAAAAATGACAACTTCAACCACTGGATTTACATCATAATATGCTTAGTTTTCAGAGTTTTCAGCTGAAAAATTTAACTAAGTGTTTTCAACATTTTATCTAGACTTTTAGAATCCGAAAATTTCCTTCTCAAAGCATCAAAATCGCTTTGGCTTTCTGAACAATTTTTTTAGTTGCAATCTGTAAAAAGAAAAGAGACATTACCCAAGACCCTCTGAAAAATTTTTAGAATTAGACACAATAGAAAACCTCGGATCTCCTCGTGCGGAGAGGCAAAAGGTAATATAGCAGATAAACGAAAAAGATTAGGCATGAAAAAAATTGATGACTTTGTTTTTTGAGAACATTTCTTAAAGTTCTTGAAAGTGTATTTGGCCAAAACCTGAATAGAAATGGGCGAAATCAGAACAAGTAGAGAAATGATCAATCGTCGAATAAGTCATCAGATAAAAGTCGAAAATATATGAAAATGACAAATCTTGTTCAAGGAGGTCATCATTTTTTTTAATGGTACACTTTTTTCTAAAATATTTCCATGCGAACAGTTTAAAATATATTAATAACTGAGTATATTTTTTCTGGTATCGCGATTGTATTGATTCTATTCCTTCGTTTTAAGTTAGCATAATTAGAAAAGAATATTGATAAATATTGAAAGAATACTAAATATAATATTTAATTCTCTAATAAAGTTTGAAAATAACTGCTTTATAGTTACATTGAAAATTTATCGTGACTCACGGCGGTCACGCCGATGTCTAGTTGTGAGTACTAAAATTATTTATTTTAAAATTTTCTTTCTTTGTCATAAGTGTTAAAAAGAATTCAAATAGTGATTCGAATGGAGAAAATAGTTTCCAATAAGAATATAAGGAAATAAAAATGATTATCAGATTCAAAAGAACAACTAGAGTAAATCATTCTCTACAAAATGAGATGTTTCTGAGTTCTCTATGATGCTCTATGGCTGAGATACAGCAATTTGATAGAAATCCAAACAATGATTGTTCGATCAGAAACCGGAAAAAAACGAGCTTATAGTCTTTCATATGATTATTGTATCTCAACTAAAAAATATCACAGAGAATGATTTACTCTACCATTATAGGTGTTGAAAAACTAATCTATGGTTTTGTGTAGTCTCTATCTGTAGGAGTCTAATAATAATTTTTATTTCTTTATATTCTTTTTTGAAACAATATTCTCTATTCGAATCACTAGTTCAATTTTTGCCAGAACTTATGGTAGCAGAAAAAAAATTAAAACTGATCTTTGTTGAATAATTCTGGTACTTTCTGTACCTCCAAATATGATGCATACGATTCAAAAAGCAGAGTTCTTTCTAAAAAATGTCATATGGTGTAATATAGAAAAACAGGTGCAACCTTGTTTTTTAGAGTAGTCATTCTTTCTACAGAGACTTGCGCTGTATAATTTGTAAGATATTAAATCTATGACGTTCAATTCGAAAAATATTCTATTGAATTAGGTGGAAAATTAAGACGACGTTTAAAAAATTTTTTCATTGTTACTATTGTTGGTCTCGGTACATTTTATGGTTATCGTAGTTATCGTCGTTATCGATGGTTTAATGAAATGAGTGACTCTGATAAGACTATTGGTGCTAAACCACGTGTTATTGTACTTGGAACAGGTGAAATAGTGATTCAATTACCTTTATTTTATTTTAATAGTTCTATACAGGTTGGGGTGCTGTACCACTTTTAAAACATATTGATACACATAAATATGAAGTTGTTTGCGTATCACCACGTAACTATTTTTTAATGACACCATTATTACCATCTGTTAGTGTTGGTACAGTTGAAACTCGAACCGTAATTGAATCAATTCGTTCACTTATTGGACCACGTGTTAAATTTGTTGAAGCACATTGTGTCAATGTAGATCCAGAAGCAAAAATTATAACATGTAGTAGTGATGGAGAACAAACAGTATCTCGTGGTGATGATGTTAAAGCTATATTGGTCCCATCAAGACGTACAGATGGTGCATCATCAAGAATAATTAAAGATTCAGGTGAAGAAATTTTCTATTTTCAAAGATAATTTTTTTAAAATTTAATTTAGCTCGAGTTCGACCTGAATTTCATATGAAATATGATATTCTTGTTGTTGCTATTGGTTCAGAAAATAATACATTTAATACTCCAGGTGTTGAAGAACATGCACATTTTCTTAAAGAACTTCTTGATGCTCGACGTATACGTTCAGCAATTAGTGACGCTTTTGAATCAGCCATGACACCAACACAAACATTAGCAGAAAGAAAACGTCTTCTACATTTTGTTATTGTTGGAGGTGGACCAACAGGTGTAGAATTTGCTGCCGAAGTATGTCTATATTGAAATAGTTAATCAATATCAAATTTTTCTTAAATATTAGAGCATCTTACGATTTGTTTTGTTTCGAAGAGTAGCAATTGAATGGTATAAAAAATATGAAATTTAGAAGACTATGATAGTTCACTGCTCCTACCATAAAGAGTAAAACGGTTTTTTTCTCTCTTGAAATTTAAGTAAACAAAGATAGTCAGTCGACTAACGAGGTAACCTTTACAAGTGTTAAATCACTTTTCGATCGAGACAATGTCCAGTTAATGAGTAATAGAAAAGTCTACAGTGGTTTGATCTTTTGAATTTTCGTTCTTGAAATATCGAAATTTTACTGGGTTTTGTAACACAAAGCTATGGTTCTCGTCAGGTCACGCGGAAAATTGACTTTCGACTTCAAGCTTTGCACAAACAAAGTTGTCAATGAGATTAGGTCATTGAACAAGTTGTAACTTTTCTAGTGTCTCCTATTCTGAGATATTCAATATTCAAAATTCTTTCATGTGTACAAGTAAATTTTGTTCATATATTTACATTTTCAGAAAGAAAATATTAGAAAAGCTAAAACTTAACCAACAAATTAATCTAATTAAGAGCTTTATTCGTGCAAAGTTTGAAGTCGAAAGTCGATTTTTTCATGTGACCTGAGAGACTGAAGCTTTTTGTTGAAAAGTCCAGCAAAACTAAATTATTCTAGACACTTCTATTACTCATCGAATAAACATTATTAAAAATTCCATAGCTTAGTTAATTCTCAATAGGAACTCAAATCCTCTTAGAATTTTTACAAGAAGATTATGCAACATCTATAGGCAAAAATAAAATCGTTGAAATCAGAATTGAGCATATGAAGAGGTTCCGCAATAAGTGAAATAGTCCATAATAAATTCATCATTGAAATAAAATTATAATATTATATTAGAGTTATATATATGTAATTTTAGCTTGCCGATTTAGTTCGTGAAGATCTGCAAATTTATTTTCCACATCTTGTTGCTAGTGATGTAAAAATAACATTAATTGAAGCACTTGATCATATTTTATCAATGATGGTTAGTAAATTTATTTTTTTATTAATAAAAGTTCTTTGATTTGTTTTATTTTTAAGGATAAAAAAATAAGTGATTATACTGAAAGACATTTTCATCGTGAAAATATTGAAGTATTAATGAATACATTTGTAAAAGAAGTTAAACAACGTGAAGTTATTATACAATTAAAAGATTCCGATGAACTTAAATCACTTCCATGTTCAGTTGTTGTTTGGGCAACTGGAATTAAAGCTCGACCATTAACAAATAAACTTCGAGAAATAATTGGCTTAAATATTCAAAGCAATCGTATGGGTCTTCTTACTGATCCATATTTACGTGTAAAAGGTGTTGATGATGGTTCAATATTTGCTCTTGGTGATTGTGCTACAATTCAAATGCCAAAATTAATTGATCGTATTCATTCATTATTCGAAGAAGTTGATACGGAACATCGAGGTGCACTTGATGTTCAACAATTTCGAACATTAGTTGAAAAGAAGATTACAGAATTTCCACAAGTATTTAAATAGTTTTTGTTTATTAATTTTTGCTAAAAGTTACCTACCTCTAGACGAAAATGATTGATATTTTATTTTTAGAAGAGTTTTCTTTTTTCTTAGGTTAATTATATCAAGACAATCCTTCACAAACTATTTACAAAATGAAAATTCTCGAAGCATTTATCATGCTTCTGTTCTTCATAGAATTCATTATTAAATATGACTTGCAAACACTATTGATTAAAATTTCATTTTGAAAGAAACATTGACTAGTAATTTTCATTATTTCACGCAGTAGAATTCACGTTCAACGTGCAAATTAAAAAACTCTATTTCCTCTTTTCTAAACAAATACTCTTCTAGATACGTTTGACTTATTCACTATAAAACTAAGCATAAATTTCAGTTTCTATCGAACGTTGAAACAAAGATTGTACTCATCTCGACTGTTGACAATCAGTAATGATTTCATCTCTGGAGCATCTATTGGAAGCATTAAGTTTTAGCACTTGAGCTATTGAATTGATTATAAAAGAACACTTTCAGATAGGTAATATTATTTGATGTGTCAATTTTCAACAAAATTTCATTACATAACCTCTACAGATAACCATAAGATCAATAGGAGTTTTTAATAAGTTGATATGATAAAAATAAGCAAGAAAATAAGATAGACCCGTTCCATCTTAACATGAAACATCTTGTAAACAATATTTATAATTTGTTTTAAAATAAAAACCCCATCTCGTTTTCTTTGTAGCTTGAAGTTTTTTCCACGAGTGTTGAAAAGGCATTTGCAGAAGCCGATAAAAACAAGTCTGGTTATCTAACACTTGCCGAACTTCGTTCAATTCTTGAAAAAGCCGATGGAAAAATTCGTGCATTACCAGCAACAGCTCAAGCTGCATCACAGGAAGGTCGTTATGTAGCTGATCTACTTAATCAATTAACTGATATACAATTAAATAATTTTGAACAACAAAATTTAAAATCATTCCACTATAAACATATGGGTTCATTAGCATATGTTGGTGGTGATGAAGCAGTACTTGATTTTACTGGTACAAGACCACTTCTTAATATATTTGATTTAAAACCAATATCGGGTCGTAGTGCTGCTTATTTATGGAAATCATTTTATCTTACTGAAATGTTTACTGGACGAACGAAAACATTACTTGCATTTGATTGGGTTCGTACTCACTTATTTGGACGAGATATTAGTCGATATTAAAAAAAAATATCTAGTTTGATTTTCTAACAAAAAGCCAATCAAATTTAAAAATTGCTTTTTTTCCATTCTTTAATTAAGCCCTTGATGTATAATTAGAATTAAGAATGATTATGTTTTAGTTCTAACAATTTTTTATTCTTTGAAAAAACAGTAAAAAATATATTTGTTGTCCATTTTTTTTCTTTTGATGATAATCGAATGTTGCTTCTAATTTCCATTCTTGTTTTGCCATTAAATTAAGTAATGCTGTCCAACTGTTAAATGAGAAAGATTTTAATTGATATTCAATTATACAATAATCATATTGAATTGCTTCATTTGTTTCAATTTGTTCGAATAACCAATAAATAGTAAATGAAGTATCTAATGGAGAATTACTAATAGGAATAATTCCACATAGGCGATAACCTAAATTTGAATAGTTGATAAATGGATGAAGCCATTCAAAATTTTCAAGTATGGTTTTTGACATAGTTGTTGAACGAATTAATTTATATTTATAATGTATCATTAATTTTTTTGTAGAAATTATATAAGCTTTTGATTCTAAATTAAAGCAAAACAGAACAATTAAGAAAAAAGACAAAATTAATAATCGATAAGTCTACTTGATGTATAAACAGATAAGATATTTTTCTCATTAAATTCTTGAAATTTTTCTTCAAATTCATGTTCAGAGGATAAGGAAATTGTTTCAATATTTAATTCATTAGTTGTTGTTGGTTGATCATAATAAACTGCAGCTATTTTAAATGTTGGTAATGTTTTTGATTGAGATTTTTGATTATTATTGTTATTATTATTATTATTATTTTTATTATTATTAGGAATGGGAATGGGAATTTTAAAAATATGTGTAAGTTCTTTACCATAAGAATCTTGATGAAATAAATATTGAATAAAAGAATGAGTATCGAGTTCATTTGAATCGAATGGAGAAGTAGGTATATCAAGTTGAATAACATAAACAGATGAATGATGATTATCGAAAGATGATGATGATGTTATTGTTGAGTTTGATGACGATAAAGAAACTTTTTGAGGATACTGTTGTTTATTATTTGAAAATGTTTTCTTTCTTTTTATTAAATCTGATGATAAATTAAGTTGTCCAAGGACAAGACGAAATTCTTTTCCAATAACAATTCGTTGTTGTTGTTCATCATCTTCATGTCGTTCGTAATTACTTCTTGAATTACCCATGATAAGAATAGATTAACTTTGATCAATAAATCTATAACATAATCATTTTGTTTTTTTCTTCTTTTACTTCATTTCGCTTTGAAATATACATATATATATATACATACATACATGTTGCGCCTACACATAACAAAAAAAAGATGCGAAGGAGAAGAAAAAAAACGAAGAAGACAAGGCGTCTGTCTCCTTTTTTCGCTTATGTTTAACCTAATTGATACTCTAGTAGTGAGTTATATACGTGATTGAATAATGATGTATATGTATATAGGAGAGAAAAGGGAATCTTTCAATTATATATGCGAAACGAGGCGGAGTAGAAAAAAAGGCGTTGAATACGATTTAAACATTAGTCTATGTGCAATGAACAAGAACAAAATAAAATTTGTAAAATTACTATGTTTTAGATTTTTATTTTTATAAATCAATAAAATAATAATGGATTTGAGTATTGTCAACGATGATTTTTATCTATCTGGCATGGCAGCATTGATTGGCGACATTGATAGTAAGAAATCAAAATGCATAATTGATTATACAATATAATATCTACTATTTCTATGGTACATATTTGCTTAGAACAGTTAATGGTTATGCTACGTGATGGTCGAACACTAATTGCTTTTTTAAGAAGCCTTGATCAATTCGGTATGTGTGAAAAAAAATACAATTCATGTCATTTTCTTATAGAAAAAAAAATGTTCTTTTCAAAAGAAGATGGATCAATTTCATGAGATACTATTACTATTGAACCGAGCGATATATTCTTACATATTAAATGCAAACTAAAGGATTAAGCATGTCTCTAATTAGCATATCTGTATTGCAGTAAAGAAGTTTAAAAAAAAAAAGAATGATTATGTACAATTGAAAGTTTTTAGTTAAATATTTGCATTCGAAAAAAAAAAACTGAATAATATTAAAAATAAAAGTTTGCTATTGAAAGCCTTTGTTTTTACAGGTAATCTTGTTCTTCATCAAGCATTTGAACGTATTTGTGTTGGTCAACAATATGCCGATATTCCTCGTGGTTTATTTGTAATACGTGGTGAAAATGTACTACTTATTGGTGAATTGGATTTTTATAAACCATTACGTGTACCACTTTATGAAGTATCAATTGAAGAGATTCTTAAATTACAAAAACAAGATATTGAAAAAAAAGAACATATTGAAAAACTGCGACAAAAAGCGATGATTGAACATGGTCTTGTTGATGAAGGAAATCCAATTGAAGAACATTATTAGAATAATCATAAAAGAACCAACAAACTTTCTTTTTTTTGTCTTTTTGTTTTTTTGTCTTCTTGTTTTTTTATTTTCGCCATTTATACAGTTAAAAAAATAGCCGGTGCTCTAATGTTGTTTTTCTGCTCATATTTATTAACTCAACCAAAATTTTAGATATGATTAGACTAGAGCAATAATCAATTTCGCACAAGAATTAGAATGAACAAAAAAAATATCATCAGGATATGCTTTCATCTCATCACAAAAAAAAAAGAGAAAAATTGATATTTATTTAGCTATAATCTGGTTTCTATTAAACATGTACAGGGTAGACTAGCGTGAGGATAAGAAAATTTTTCTCAGCCAAAGTACGAAAAAAGCTTATTCTACATGTCTATAGTTTGTGTTTCATTTAGACAGAAATAATTAAGTTCACCATCGTAATTCTTTTGCTTCTACTTAGGTTAAAGTTTAATGCTATTGTTTTTATGAGTGGGAACTAGAGATGAATGAAACCAAGGTTTTTGATTTCAGTAACTTTTTTATCCATCAGTCCCGGTCATAGTCTCGATAAATCTTGTATAGTCGTGGTCTCAGCAACCTCTCTCTAGTGATCTCGATCCGGGATCGGTCATAGTCACACACATCACCGGTGGAAAATGTATAAATAGAGTTCTAATGCGAAATAAACTAAATATTATTTCTATTGAAATCTTTTTAACCCATGAGAAATTTTGTATTTCTTTCGCATGCGATAAGATAAATTTTCTGAATGTTGATTCTATTGAAAGGTTATACAACAATCCGATTTTTATTGGTTTCTTTTTTTATTTCTGATATTAAAAGAAAATTTTCTTTTCAAAAGAAATTTTCACTTTCAGATGGCTGATTATGAAGAACTAAGTCAAAGTGATAATGAAGAAATAAATGATTCAATTCCAAAAGTCTATATCACCTATAAACGTCGATGGTTCTATCTATTTGTTGTTTGTTTAGCTCAAATATCCAATGCTTTAGTAAGCTAAAACTATTAAATTAATGCATCTAACATTTACCTTTAGATTTGGATTAATTTTTCACCTATCGCAAATTTGGGTGTAGAGTATTATAAAGTGAGTTATGATGCAATTAATTGGCTTAGTTTAATCTATATGATTGTAACAATACCATTTACATTACCATCAACTTGGTTAATTGATAAGCTTGGCGTTCGTTCGGGGGTTTGATTTGAGATATGTTTTTATGATAAATTGTTTTGATTATTCCTTTTTTTTTTCTTTTGATAGATGTATATTGGAGTTTGGATGAATGCTATTGGAAGTATTATTCGATGTTTGAGCACGTTGACAGTAATTGGCGCACAAGGACGATTTGTAATACTTATGATTGGTAAAATATAATATACATTTTGTTTTTCAAAAGAAAAAAAAACATGATTGTGCATTTTAGGACAATTTTTATGTGCATTAGCACAAACTTTTATTCTATTTATTCCAACGAAATTTAGTTTTATATGGTTTTCTGAAAAACAACGTTCATTAGCTAATTCAATTGCTATTGGAAGTATGGTTTTGAATGAAACTTTATTCATAGGATTCTGCCGAACTTGATGACCTATCTTAAACGAGAATATCATATATGTATATATATATGGTTTTATAGAGTAATTTGCGACGCATCGAATAGTATATAAGCAATTAAATTTTCCTCAAATTTTGACGTTATCAGGATCCATATACTTGTTATGATCCTGGAGAAATATATTTGTTACTGATAGACATAGTGCTTTCTAAGATATTCTTTAATTTTTTATAATCAATAATTCTCATCGTTGCTATCTTCATACTTAAAAATGATCTCTTTTCTTAGATCTAGGTCATTTCTTGATTATAAAATACTTAAATGTGCTCAACTCTACCATAGAATAAGTACCAACGTGAAACTTTCTCAAAAACTGCACACACTGTCGAGCTCTATATGTTTCATAAATAAAAATTTTTGGAACATCAGAAACTCACTGTTAACTTGTACGATTGTCTCCTACAATAGCCTATTTTCTCAGATGAAAGGATCTGTATATTGTTGATATTTTAACAATACTCCACGATAGTATTAAAAGTTTTTATGTGCTAATAATCAACATAACTTGCATGAGGAAATGATTTAAATAACTCCTTCAGAGACTGAAAAAAAAATTTTGGCTTTAGAAACTCTGGAGAAGCGTACCGAGATATGGAAAAGTTTATTTTTGACATGAAATATAAGATATTTGTAAACTCTTCTGATGATTCATGCATAAGTCGAACCTGGATACTCTGAAGAAAAAAATATATGAAGAATAAGTAATAAAAATCACAGACCTCCTTCCTACCACCATTTATATTCCTGTACTCCACTCCAGGTGTTGCGAGGTCAAAAAGCTTTTTTTTCCGTTTATAAAGGACTTATCTATATCATTTCATCACGGATACTGTGATAATTATGATCACATAAAAATTTTTGATACCACCGTTGAGTGCTGTTAAAATTCATTAATATACTGGTGTTTTCATCTGGGAAAGTAGTCTATT